ACAGCAGGAGCATGATGGGAGCTGAGGCCTCGAAAACCTGCCCAAGAAGTCGCCGATGAAACAGGGTCTCCTGCCAATAGACGCGTCTCCTGGACAGCAACGAAGTCAGGAACCTCCCCAATGAGATGTATCCATTCCCAGACGTCCTGAAACCCGTTCCAGTTGTTAGGGTTGGTTGTGAAAAATCTCCAAACTTTGTCGTTGCTTTTTTGGGGCCTTGGGACGCTGGCCTCTCCCAACACCCCTGCCTGCAGGAAGAGGCGACGGGTCGGGATCAGCATTAGCACCTGGCGGGGCAGCCCGGTGCCACGTCGGCCGAGGCAAGGGGCCTGCAGCCGAGCTAGCAGGGTTCAACGTCCCCGCAGAGGTAGCCAACGTAGACGAAGCCGTTGCAGGAGCAGTAGTTGCACCCGTCGATGAAGGCGCACCAGCAGACCCAGTCGGAGCACCCGAAGCCGTCGCAGCTGAAGTGCCAGCACTGGAGGACGCAGTAGGTGCTGCTGCTGGTCGGCGCGGAGCGCGGCGCGATTGTCCAGGTAGTGGCCCAAAAGGTGGCGCTGGCCCCTGACGGTGCTGGCTAGTGAACCAATTCCTCAAAGATTCCCATTCGTAGTTGTGCATACCAGCTGCCGCATACTGTTGATTGCTATTTAACTTGCGAAACCAGCGAAGGAAACTCTGGCGACTACGCACACCTTTATGCCAAGCACGAATGCACATCTCACGCGCCAGTTGCGAAGGCGTCTGCATACGTGCGCGCAAGGCATGCGCAAACCTCGGGCGGGCAAGCTCTTGCGCCAAAAACGCCTCACACACATCATGACATTCTGCCTCATCTTCTGGCTGCAGTCCGTGATACGGGTTGTTGACCCATCGCTGCGCCCAGGCTCTGGCCTGTCGTTCCAAGCAGGGCGCAGGCACAAAGACACGATACCCCGCTGCAGCCATGAGCGAATCTGGCAAAGCTGCCAACCCGCCTCCCCCATGCGCTGTTTCCCTCGCCTCCTGTGGAGAGGGTGTCCCAGGGGAAGGACAGGCTGGTGGCGACGTATGGCGTTCTGACGCCCATGTCGATGACCCAGTAGACGAGGCGGTAGGTCCACTGGTGGCAATCATCCAAAACGTGGAGGACCCATCACCGCAGGTACCCGATCTGCTCGCGGTAATCCTCGCCGTCGTGGGTGGGCCAGTCGTCACAGATGCCCCAGCAGAGGCCGTAATCTGTGTCGCTCGTGTCTCCAGCCCAGGGGAGGCGCATCCCTGGCCAGCTGGGGGTCTGGTAGCGCCTCCACGATGGACTTGTGGCGACTTCTGCTGGAAACCACGCACCGAACCTCCAGGGAGACTCGCGCCGCGGGCCCGCCACGGGGTCATCCCCTTCTCGGGAAAGGTGGGGCCAGTGAGTGCGCCGCAATGCGTAGATGCGGATCCACTCCTGGCACTGCAAGTAGTAGATCGTGTAGAGGAGCCAAAGGAGGTAGAAGGGAAAGAAGGGTGTGTCCAGGACAGCCAGGGGTTGTAGTCGTAGGTGACTCTGGTCTGCATCCCACCAAGACACTCTTCATAAGGTAGAGAAAGGCAGGCATCATTATTCCAGTAGGTATCCCCGTCGCAGAAGTAACCTGCAAGACCAACTGAAGCGTGATGCTCTGGAAGGTACTGATCAGCATCCAAGGTTGCACTCAACGGAGTATCAAGCAAAACCGAATGCTGGTAGTCGAAGTCATAGTCAATGTTACCCCTGCTGTGGCGAGCCTGTAGCAACGCACCCAGCAGCCAGCTTGGCCTTCGCGTCATTGACGATCGATGCAGAACGGCGTGCTGGCTTGCCAGTGGCTTTCTTGCTTGAGCCTGGTTCGGCTTCAGAAGCTGCAGGCGCACCAGGAGTAGAAGGCGCAGGCGCAGCCTTGGAGTCAGCTGAGGCGCCTGTTGCCTGACTGGCAGCAGCCTCTGTAGCCGCCTTAGCCTCGTCATCATTAGCTGCTGTATCACCTGGCCCAGGCTCCTCTTGCTGCTCGCATCGTCGCTTCTTAGCTGCCACTCGCTGTTTAGCCAAGGTATGTTCTTGCTTAAGCTCATCAGCTTTGGCCTTGACCTGCCCGAAACAGACGGTAGCCAATTCCCGAAACTTCTCCTGAAGGGCCTCTTTCCTCCTCTGAGCCTCCACCAGGTCCTCGGCCGAAACCAGTTCCCCCAGCTCATCAAGTCCAAACAGGCCTCCATCGTCGAGGTCCAGGGGCTTACCATCCAGGATTGCAGCCAGGTCGAGACGAGGGGCAGCAGGAGCGTCGGCGCTGTCAGGCAGTTTTGTGTCCACGGACTTTGCAAGCTTCTGGACCGCCTGCTTGTAGATGCTGCGGGCATTGTCCACTGCTTCCGAACAGGACTCGACTTGGTCCTGGGCCGTGACGAATTGTTCTTCCAACTTCTCGCAGTAGGTGATGGCCCTGCGGAGGGCCGCCTCCGCTTGCTCCACCTTCTGCTTCGCCTGGCCGACGCTGATGTTCTCGATGGCCTTCTGCTGATTGAGCAAGTCCAGCTTCGACTGGTACTTGGCTGCCATCTCCGCGTCACCATTGGTACGAAGGAGCTGGATGAGGTCTGCCAAACGTGCCTGCTCCTGCGAGTCACCACTGGGGCCTGGCCATGCCGATTCTTCCAACCTGAAACGTTGGGGTGATGTAGTTCCTGGCCGTGTGCCGTCAGCAAATGATACCGATGGGACTCGCCGTGCAGCGCCTGGCCCTGGGGAAGATACTGCTGAGGCCTCACCCAATTGTGCATCACGACGTATCCAGGGCGCGCGTCGCAGTGCTTGACCACGATCAGCAGCAGGCCCAGGAGACCGACCAGGCCCACGCTGACGTTGAAGCACGACATCATCGGCAGCAGGCATCGGCGCCTTGCAGTGTTTGCACCATTTCCACCATCGCTTGTTGCGTCCACAACCACATTGCTCACACTTGGTCGCGGACGGACTCGAGAATCGGTGGGCAGCGGCCGCTCGAACTGATGTGTCAGAACGCTGCATGGCTGCGGCCGGGGCAAACGGAAGCGAACGTCAGACGGCGCCGTGCTGGACACTCATCGCCACAAGGTATCAGCCTTGTGGTATGGGAAAGAAAAAATGACTGCTCACGCCCTGGCTTGGCAGCCAACTGTGGGCGCGAGCTCAAAGAGCTGTCCTGGCCAGCTGCCTTGACACATGTATTACTTGAGCCAAAATGGCTTGAGCCAAAATGGCTACGGTGACGCTGATGTTGTCGTCGTCGTCCACCTCCTTCTCCTCCAGTTCCTCCTCCTCCTCCTCCTCCCTGATGGGGGGGATGACTGGACCCCATACCCACCACCGCACGCCCACAGGGAAACACCCCACCAGGCCACGCCCACAGGGGGGGGCCCATAGCGCGGGGGGGGGGGCCCGATGCCATCAGCATGAGAGCAGGCGGGGACCGGACCCTGGATCATATATCGCACCACGTCGATTCTCCGTTCTAGCAAAAATAGACGCTACACCCCCCAGAGTTAACGGTCCCCCCTGGGGTACTGTGGTTTCGTATTTATTATGCACACTCGTCCATCTTACCTGTGAGTTCATACCATCCCAGCCAGGCCGGTATCACTCCCCCCCGCCACCCGATGCAAAAAAAAATATGCGCGCGCACTCGTTTATCAGAAATCATAAGTTTTCAAAAATCCCTTGCAACAAATACGACGACGAAGTGCGCACGCGCGCGTCGTCGCGCGCGCATGCCGAAATCCTTAAAAAACTCCCAATTGCAGAAGGATTTCAAAATCGAGTGTCAAACAAAACATAAACAAAACATGGTTTCGCAAAACTAATTTGCTTAAAAGCTTACGCGCGCGCTCTTGCGAAATCTTCCGAAACCATAGGTTTTCCAACGTTTACAACAAAAATGCTACCAAATGGGCTTCGCGCGCGCGCGCGCATGTCGAAATCTTTCGCGCGCCCTTGCGCGCGTGTCGTCGCGAGAATCCTCCGTAAAAGAAGGGACGAAGTGCGCACGCGCGCGTCGTCGCGCGCGCATGCCGAAATGCTTCAAAAACCTTCAGTTTCGGAAGGGTTTCTAAATCGAGTGTGAAAAAATACAAAAACACATGGTTTCGCAACACAGATGTGGGCGCGCGATCTTGCGTCGTCGTCGTCGACGTCCTCCCTCCTCCCTCGTCGTCGTCGTCGTCGCCGTCGTCGTCCTCTGTCCTTCCTCGTCGTCGTCGTCGTCATTTCCGCCGTCGTTGTCGCCGTGGTCGTCCTTCCTCCCTCGTCGGCTTCGTCGGCGTTTCGTCGTTGTCCCTCCTATTTCGTCGCCGTCGTCGTCGTCATCGTCGTCTTCCCTCCTCCCTCGTCGTTGTCGTCGTCGGCGTCGCCGTCCTCCCTCATTCTCCGTCGTTCGCGTCGTCGCCGTCCTCCCTCCTCCCTCGTCGCTGTCGTCGTTGCCGCCGTCGTCGTCCTCCCTCCTCCCTCGTCGTCGTCGTCGTCTTCGTTGGCGACGTCGTCGTCGTCTTCGTCGTCGTCGTCGTCGGCGTCGTCGTCGGCGTCGGCGTCGTCGTCGTTGTGATCGTCGTCGTCGTCGTCGTCGGCGTCGGCGTCGTCGTCGTCGTCGGTGTCGTCGTCGTCGTCGTCGTTGTCGTCGTCGTCGAAGTCGTTGGAGACGTCGTCGGGGTTGTCGTAATCGTTGTCGGCGGCGTCGTCGTTGTCGTCGTTGTCGCTGTCGTCGTCGGCGTCGGTGTCGTTGCCCGGGAGGGTGGGATGGTTGCACGAGCAGTGGAGTAAGACAGCTTCAGATTGAGCAAGTGATTGACTGCGCTGCATAGACTGTGCAACACAGATTGCGCCACGTGGATCGCACCACATACACTGCACAACCTCGATTGCTACACTTAGAGTGCACCACGTGGACTGCAACACATAGCTTGCACCACGAGGTGACGCACAGGTCCACCTCCGTGCCCTCGCGGCCCGCACACCCCCGAGAGGCGCGGCCCCCACGAGCTGCGCGGAGCCCTGGGGGAGACGCTCCGCGCGGGGCGCGCCCGCGCGGGCAGAGGCCGCCGAATCGGGGTCCGAGCAGGCGAGGTTGGAGGACCCCGCCGCATCGCTCATGTATCGGCGACGCGTCGGCGCCGTCGGCGATGCATCGGCGCTGTCGGCGGGAAGAAAAATTCGAGCTCCGCATCGAGTCGCACCGCGGGAGCATCGGCGAGGCGCCTCCGTCCTCCGACCCCCGACCTGCTCCGACCCCATCCTGGGAGGGCCGGAGCACTCGTGGGGTCGCGGCCGAGGAGCCCAGACGGCGAGGCCGTGGATGGTGGCCGAGGAGCCCAGATGGCGAAGGAGGAGGAGGAGGATGAGGAGACGATGAGGATGAGGAGGAGGAGGAGAAGGAGGAGGAGGAGGAGGAGGATGAGGAGGAGGAGGACGGGGAGGAGGAGGAGGAGGAGGAGGAGGAGGAGGAGCGAGGCCGTGGATGGTGAGGCTTCGGGCTGCGCACAGACACCTCCCAATCAGTCCCAGCTGGCCTGCCGAGCAGTCCGCGGCAGTCTCGCCCCCAGGGCGCCGCCGCAGGCGGGGCCACCGTCCTGGGACCGCTTTGGCCTGCTCCAGGGGCCTGCTGGGGTCAGCCTGGGACCAGCTTCTGGGCGCAACCCGACGTCTTACCAGCCGCGGATGTCAGGAGAGCCCAGAATCGAATCGACACGCCGGATCTGCAATCGACATACCTCGGCTCGGCGGACATCGGCAGCCGAGCCGGGAAAAGCCGAATCGGCGGACACCGGCAGGCTAGTAGGCCGCCCATTGAGACATCGGAGCCCACATCGGAATCCGAAGTCAGATCGACTCGGAATCGGAAGCCGTCGAACTCGAATCGGATCGAAATGAGCAGCGGGATGCGGATGCTGCAGCGTGCTCCCCGCCCACGAGCCCAGGCCCCCGACGTCATGAGTCATGGCTGCTCCGTGGCCGTCGACCCCCGGAGGTCTCGACCCCGTCCCCGGGACTGGCTTCTCCTCCCGAGTCGTTTCTGGACGGCCCCGAGGCCCGGTAGGGGCCCCCAGAGGCCGAAAGCAGCGAAACGCCCTCCGTCGTGACTCTTGCTTCCTGACTCGATGGGGGTCTGGCAGAGCAGGCGTGACGCCAGGGGCACAAAGCGCGACGAGCGGGCGGAAGCGCTCTCAGCGGCCCTCCACCGACGTCAGCCGGGTGTAGGACACACGGTGGGCCTTGGCCACGGGCTCCGTGGCCGCCGCGTCCTCCTTTCAATAGGCCCAGGGACACACAAATACATGGACACAAATCCCATGATTCCCATATTTTCCCATATCTTCCGGCTTTGCGTCTTCCCCCCCACTTCCCATATACTCCCATATCTTCCTGGGAGCCGACGAGGAATTGTGTCTGTAATGTTTCCCCTCCCGACTCCTTCGCCTTGGCGATGTAAGCGATCATCTTGCTGGTCTCCTCCTCGTAGGTGTAGCCAGCGTCCCACTTCCAGCGGGGGTCCCACGTGCCCCCGCCGCCCTCCGGCCCCGGGATCGTGGGGTTGCTGCCGCCGAGGGACATGTACGCCGGGTTGTCGTACTCCTGGTGGTCGATGCCCCAGGGGTTGCGCGAGGACGGCCCGTAGGGGATCCCTGGGGTCCCGTAGCCGAAGGGGATGGCCCCCGCCGTCTTGTCGGTCGCGTGTCCGTACACGTGCGGCCCCGGTGAAGCTCCCGAGCCTGTCCACTGCTCAAGGTTGTCCAGTCCAGGGACGTCACGGTGGCCCGGGCGGGGGTACCTCAGCGCGGGCGGGGGCGCCGACTTGCACCATGTGGGGACCGGAAGGCCGCGCTTCTCGAAGTACGCTGGGTTCACCCACACATGGTCATTGTAATGGAAGCGCGGCTCGACGTAGTTGATCCAATAGGCGTCAAGGCCACCGATGTAATTGAAGGAGGCGTTGTGCATGATCTCAAAGATGAGCTCTTCGGTTTCGTCCTTGGACCTGTGCTGAGCGAACCACTGGTGGCCACGACCCGACCGACGGCCATCGAAGCGGACCAGGACGACCCCGAATTCGATGTTCTTCCCCGAATAGAAGAAAGTCTCGTTCAGGACCTCTGCCTCATAGTGACCGTTGTGGACGGCCCAGAAATCAATGGTCTTGCGACCACCCAGCTCTTCCATGAAGGTGGGCAAATTGTAGGCGTGGATCTGGTGACCACTCTCCATGTCGAGTACGCCAGCGGTGTCGAAGCCGAGCTTCGTGGCGTTCCCAGTGGGGGATAGACACCCAAGGAAAATCCACGCCTTACGCATCTTGCCCCACAGCGTTGCGAACTCGTAGACTTGAGGCTCCAGGATGAGGCCACGCCAGCCAGTGAGCTCCAGCAAGAGAGTGTAGCTGTGCGTCTCGCCATCCCCGCCGTGGGTGTCCAGGTAGAAGCCGTTGGTGACGTTCTCGAGCACCTGCGTGATGAGCTTGACATCCTGCCAGGCGTTGCTGAAGGTCTGGATGTTGTCCCCAGTTTCCAAGCTGTACTCGACCCAGTGGGGGACGTCGAGCATGTGCATGGCCGAGTACTCGTGGACGGGCCACGAGTCACCAGTGCGGGGCGTTCCGACGCCCCAGGGCAGCTCGGATTCCTGCGCGGCCTTGCCCTCGTTCTCGAACTCCGCCGAGGGCTGGAACTCACCACTGGTGGGAGCGAGCAACTTTCGTTTGTCTACCCAAGCAATCAAAATGCAACGAACGGAGGGTCCGCTCAACGAGACCCGGGAGCGTTGAGTTCCGGAGGCTCCCGGCAACGGCCGATCGCCCAGTGCACACTACATCGGCAGCCCTCTACTCACAGAGGAACTCTGACGGAAAGGAAATCGTGCAAAGGAGTGGGGGGGGACCACCCCTGGACGCTCAACCCCAGATCAATCCGCCACTTCTGAAGCGTAGGGTCGAGGAGGCGGGAGGGCGGCAAGAGGGAGGGGACTGGGAGGCAAGGACGTGGGGAAGCCCAGACACCCGACGACGTGTTCTTCCAACACGTAGGCCCTATTATCTCCTGGAAGCGAGCTCTTGCCCTGGATACCCTGTCCCGTCGCCAGCCCCGGGGCCCGAAAGAGGCCCCCGGGAGGTCGAGCGCTGCCCCCCCCCAAAAAAGTCCTCCCGCCGCCTTGCCTCCGTTCCCGACCTCCTCCTCCTCCTCCTCCTCCTCCTCCTCCTCCTCCTCCTCCTCCTCCTCCTCCTCATCCTCCTGGCCGTCTCTGGCTGTCCCTGCCCCCATGGCCTCCCTGGCCGTCCCCCTGGCCGCCCCCCCCCTCCTCGTGGCGCC